GCGTGAGCAGAGTGGCATCGCCAACAACAACAACCTTGGCCTGTTGTTGGCGATGCCACTCTGCTCACGCCTGCCCGTCACCAAACGACTCCCTACTTGTAGTGATCTCACTGGGCCACTGCCCGCCACCCTCCTGGCACCCCCCACACATCTGCTGTACACTGCCTCCCCATCGCCTCTTTCCGCGCTTTCATGCTCACACCTGCCTGTTGCCCGCCACCCTCCTGGCACTTCCACTGTCGCGCCTTGGCCCGCGCCAGCTTTCTCCCCATACCTCACACCAGATTTAGCGCTAAATTTGTTTATGCTTGTGGCCCTATGTGTTTATAAGCATACTGTTGGGTAGACCAGAGTATCAGTTGTCTGATGATTGCCTAGCGGCATGAAACTCAGAGTTACAACCAACCTGAACGTCCTCCGCTGAGTCTGCTATGTACTAAGCTCTGTCTCTGACATTGAGCACTCTCTGCAGCTCGGGGATCAACGGATTTTGACTGTACACATACGTAACAAGCCTGCTGCGCTGGTGGAGTGATAACGAAAGATTTCGTGAACGAAAATTTGTAGTTATACAGTATTCAGATTGTCCGAAGATTGAGCTCCTTCAGTAGCTTCACTGGCTTCAGGAGTGCAAAATAATGTCGTCCGTAGTGCAGTGCGGTGGTTGTGGGTCGTCCACGACCACTCTAAAGTTTGTTTCGTGTTTGCACTCACTATGTGTGCCGTGCCTGCAGAACAGCTTGGGATTCGATGGAAGCATAAAGTGTCCGCGGTGTTTGTCCGCTACGCAATTGCCTGTTGGTACAGAGCCGTTACGATCGCTACCGAATGTCGTTCAAGCAAGCGATACGATGACTGGAGCGGCTGCAGGCCGAGATCAGGTCTTTCAAACCTGTGACGAATGCTGGAATGGAAAGCCAGCTACAGTGGGTTGTGAGAACTGTAGCCTCAAATTCTGTGAGCACCACGGTACTGGCCATCCCATGTCCAGATCTGGCAAAGGTCACACAGTGAAGGCGCTATCTGCATCCTCCACAGGGTCAACAAGCAGTGGCAGCAGCAGTGGCAGAGTGGTCCAGCACAGATGCGCTCTACACACGAATGAAGTGCTGAAACAGTTTTGCTTGGAGTGCAATCAGCTATTGTGTGCACATTGCATGCACTCTGGAGCACACAGACATGATGAACACAAGGTGATGGATATTGCCAGTGCTGCACAAAACACTCGTGACACACTTTCCACTAAGCTGAGCAGTTGTACATCAGAATGTGATGGTGTTGTCAGCAGTGCCATAGAGACCGTGGAGAAGAACATTCGAATGGTACACAGTCAAACCGAGTATGCTTCAGAGAAGGTATCCAACTTCTTCAAGCCACTGATGGAGGCTGTGAAGAAGCGAGAGGCCTCTCTTCTATCCGAGCTGGATCAGCTGAGGTTGCAGAAACTGGAACCTCTGGAGAAGCAACTACACCAACTTCAGGAGTGTGTGTCGAAAGGAGAGAGTGCTGCCAGCATTCTGCAGTCGTTTGAGGACGATGTTGAGCTTCTCCGTGTGTGGTCCTGGGTGGATGCGTCTATCGTGAAAACCATGAAAACTGCGGAGGACGAGAAAGAGCCATGTGTCACCAGTGGTATTGTGTTTGGCACGACGGACACCACATCCCTACTCAAGGACATCAGCAAAACAGGAGCAGTGCTGGATGTTGCTGATGGCACACTGAAGAGTCCTGACAATGCCCTTCTTAACGATCATTTGAAGATCTCTATAGTGCTACCAGACAGTGCTGTCCCAAGTATCGTGGAGCAAGAGCAACTGGAAAACATTGGACTGGAGATATCAATATCCGATCTCGATGAGGACACAACCACCATGTGCACACAACTTACCCCTGCTACCGGACAAATACAGGCCCGACATACTCCATTGCAAACTGGCCACTACAACATCTTAGCCAAGATTGGTTGTGTCCATCTGAAGGGTAGTCCACAGAAGCTGGTGGTGTCGGCAACCCCGAGGTTTGATGGAAATCGCTGTGGCAGTCAGTTGGATATCACCAATGATGGTCGCACACTGAAAATGACCAGTGATGGTTATAGATCAGCATGTACCACACCTATGGTCACTGATACTGGTAGCAGTACACTGAAGGTGAGGATTGACAAGATCTCCAAAGGTTACATCTTCCTCTCTGCCTGTTCGTCCAGTAATCCACAGCTTGAACTATACCAACAGGACAAGGCACAGTGTTTTGGTTGGTTCGGCCATAGTGCTGGTAAATACCACACCGGCACAGCCCTTGGTCAACCGTGGCAAACTGGTGACATCATTCTTCTAACAGTTGATCACGATCGTCACACTCTTACTGGTAGACACGAGAGAACGGGCGCCACAGAAACCATCCCGAACGTCACAGGTAACCTGTACTGGATTGTGTCACTCCACAACAACGGTGATGGAATCACTCTGGTGTACTAGTAGAGGACGCTTGGACACGAGAGAACGGGCGTTACGGAAACCATCCGGAACGTCACAGGTAACCTGTACTGGATTGTGTCACTCTGTGACGGTGGCGATGCAATCACTTTGGTGTAGAGGACGCTTGGTCCACACTTCAGATTGCCTTGGGTTTAATATTGTCAGGTAGTAGTGTCTTGACTTCTTAGATGTGTGTATTTTCCTAGCGATTTGACCTGTTATGTAATACATCAAAGAGTGCGGCTCTTCAGTACACTAACAGGTACACGTATAGGGTAGTACCCCCCCCCCCCATCCCTCCACCTCTTGTTTGTCCATGTTCATGTACCTACTTGCTTACTTGCTTTATATAGGCCGAATCCCCAAAACTCTGTAAATCTCTTTTTGTGCCCTTTGTGGGTAATAGTTCTCCATGGTAGTGTGTTGAGCCCTCCCGGCTGCCTAAAGGAAAACATTCCTCCATGTACCTACTTGTATATCTCTCCGGGGAGGATATTTTCGCACCAGTTTTCATCAGTGTACTACTGCTAGGATTTGTGTGATTCTGTTGGAAGGCAAAGTGACACGAGGCATGTCGTCGGGCAATTGTACAGCTGATGTTACATGCACTACTGTGATCCGTCCTGCCTGGAACTTCTCACTGCTCATACCAGGTGAATGTCCAGTAAGGGTGACGCTGAGTATCTGATTCTGTCTGATTTTGGATTGTTTTGAGTTCTGACGTCGTGTGGTATTATTTTGTTGTTGGTTGATCATTCTATGCTTTCTCTTCCACTCTACTTTTACATGCTTCATTCATACATGTGTCAGCTGTGCTCCGCACCTAGTTTCTTGAACGACGTGTGGGAGAGACTTTCCCTATTGCTGAATTCTCCATTCACTACTACTTGTCTGGCTTGGCCTTAGGGACCGGCGGATTCTGCTCGAAAAGGTGGCAGATTCTGCTCGAAAAGCAGTGAAATTGGCAGAACCATACAAACCTTATGGCGGGCAATTCCTCGAATTCTGCTCCATTTTTTTATCCACATACCAAACATGCATGAAACTTACCAGAAAAAGTACCAAATTCTGCCAATTTTTCTGCCGGCAGAATCCGCCGGACCCTACTTGGCCTTGTTTCACTGTCACACTGTGCTTCGGTAGTGATGCCTGATGGGGGAGCCATCATCAGGGCTGATGAGTGTGGCTCCTGGGCGAAAACTTGGGTGAGATTGTAGTATTTGCAGGCAAATTGCAGCAAAGAGACCACTTGCTTTGGTGATGATGTAGGGTTCAACTTCAAGTCTGTGTCATGAAGTGTTATCCCTAACAGCATTTTTGCATGTACATGTACATGTACATGACTTGTGTATCGAATGCAACGAGAAAAGAAGGACGTGTCTGGCTTTATTGGCTGATTAAAAAGTCTCTTTTACTTGCAAACAGAGCAGCAACATTTTGATAATAATTATTTTTTTATGAACGCACACATGGATGACATGTACAGTCGACTAGTGCATGACTACTGTCTAAGTACAAATTTACTTTCGCTATATTCGTTAGGGAACTTAGGGGGCACGAAATAACTAAAGTTTGTATCAAACTAAAGTTTTTTTTCTGAACGTTCGGGGTGACAGACCTCAACCAAAAACGAAATTAATTTAGTACGTAACAAGCCTGCTGCAGTGCTGGTTTACGGGCAAACAGAATACAATTGACACGTGGCATGGCGAATGATTAGAACACAACACCAAAAAATGAAAATAATTGTATGTGTGAAAAGAAACGCAAAAAAAAAGAAAAGAAAGAAGAAAAACTAGGGCTCAAACGGTCACGGTTTTAGCCCCAACGGTTAACTGCTAAGCTAACGGTCGGTTTAACGGTTATAACCTATAAGCCACGGCAATCCTGCGGACTCTTTTTTAACCGTACATTTGACTATACTCATTCAAAAAATGTACCCTATTCAGTAAAACGCACACATGTACATTCTCTTGCATGCTCATTCATACATACTCTCACACCAAGAGACCAGAATGATTATGACCTAGTTGACAGCCCAGAAATCGCCTACGCGTGCGACAGCCTGCGAAAGTTCATACTTTGCAACGACCTGATACTTGACAAATAATTGACTGAAAAGTTACTGCGTAACCGTTAATTCTTCGTAACCGGTCTGCAACCGGACTAACCGTTTGAGCCCTAGAAAAAAACCCAGGAAAATACAAGGGCACTGGTACTGGCACTGCAGTACTGGTATACTGGTGGAGTGATAATTATAACGAAAGATTTCGTGAAGGAAAATTTGTACTTATACAGTACATGACATGACATGTATGAATACTACTACATGTACATGTACATGTAGGTCCACATGTAGTATGATTATGCTAGCTCTTGTTCTGACTACCTGTAAAAAGTAGTGCTGGCCCGGTTTCGTGATCTGGAAGACCAAAACGCCAACCCACAGAATGCGCAGCACAGTCACCATGGTCACACCATGGTATGCCTATCGGCCAGGGAATAAAAAAAACATTTCTAGAATGAATGGTCGTTCTTTGTATTGTGCCTCGCTCACCTTGCCGACAGTTCCGAGTAGAGACCAGTCACTGCACTGTGATCCGACTGCAGAAACAAACCTTGGCTTGGATTTTTGAAGTAGGTCGAAGGTGAGGGGAAAGCTAGAAGAATTTTGGATCAGGAGTCCAAAATTCACCCCGGAAGATGTATTTGTAATCCCTCGCGAAAGCTTGATTTGGCCATCTGGTTTCCACATTTCCACCCTCTGCGTACGGGATACATCGTGATGAGTCTCCTAACCACCTTTCGAGTAGGCGTGCAATTTTCACTCTGCGCTTTAGTCATCTCTACGATTAGCGTGTCTGGAAGCGGAGCAGAAGCGGGACCTAAACATGATACGAGCGAATGGATTGGTGCCTCGTAGATCTACGTACACTCCTTCATCGGCTAGCAACTCATTGTGGTGGTGGAACTATTCTCATCACGAAGACGAGGTGAAGAGAGAGCTGAGCTGGGCACGTCAGCAGTTTGGTTTCACTGCACTGCGTATGTTCCTGCACAGTATGGTGTATGAAGGTGATAACGGTAAAACACTGATCGAGGCCATCAGCAGGTGAGTGTCGATCAAGGATTAGCAACATCTTCCTATTTGTAACTAACCGTGGATGCAGAGCTTCCCCCCCCCCCCCCCTCTCTCTGTGACTCTCTATCCATCTACATAATTTCTTCTCTCCTCTCCACCTCTATTTCCGCCATACCTCTCATTTTCCATCTTTCTTCACTATATTGCACTCTTTCCCAACTGCCAGGTTTCTCCTGGTTGCAGATTCAAACAACATTGGCGTGGGTTTTGTTTTCTTTGACGACTGCTGGTCCACGTCAGGAGCAAATCTGTCCAGCCCATGTCAGCCAGTGAAAGGCCGTCACAACGGCTGTTGGAAGACCTCTCCACAAGCTAAGGATCGCACAACAGTGGCGAGATACAAGCCATACGTCAGCAATGTTGCTAGCAAGTTCAAAGATGACAAGAGAGTGCTGTGGTGGGAAAGTAAGTGCATATTGGGTGGGCACTGCCTGTGCGGGTAGTATCTTGTTGTTGTTGAATTTTATTTAAAGTCGCAACACAAACAGGCGATAGCGCCTCCTTTTATACATGTGAGGGACATGACAAATTTAATAATAATACAGTTGAACATCGATTATCCGCACATCGACTATCCGACCATTCGATTATCCGTAACAGTGTTTTTGGGCGCACGTGCCGTAGAGTATGCACTGTGCATGTAGTGAGCCATTCAAAAAATACGAAAATTTTGAAAAGTAAAAAGGTCGTGCGGCTAGTAATAACCACTGAAAGTGTGTGAGTGACAGTTTTTTCTTATCCGGAACATTTGCCTTATCTGAACACCGCCTGACAGTTGTCTGCCCAGAGGTGGTCGGATCATCGATGTTCAACTGTAGTAATGGGGAGGGGAGGAGAAAAAATCGTACATTGTTGTTGGTTGACTGCATGTAACAAGGCGGAGACCACCGTGTTCAGAAACAGTGACCTTTCTACAATCATTCACACATCTTGGGCACCCTGTAAGAAGACCTTAGGGTCTGTTGGGAATGCCCAAGTAAAATAATAAAATACAATACAATACAAATTCACGGTTGGTCGAGCCCCGGTCACACGACAGTGTCATGGAGGTGACAGTAACTGTTGCCAGCTGGCGAGCTGAGAGAGGAACGCCATGGGCAAAAGTTGGAAAACGAATATAAAAAGAAACGGAAGAAGAACAATTCACAACAGAAGCCAGTAAGCTACACATTCTATGAGGACTGAGTATCAAGAAGACATCCAGGAGCGAACAACGAATACACGACTGACGGTACAACAACAAGAAAACTAAGATGACTCCCTAGAATAAAGAGGGTCAGAACCGGGTCTAACACCCATACGGTTCAGATGGTGGCAACTGACCAGGGCTCTATCAACCGTGGATGGTTGTAGAAAGGTCACTGTTTCCGAACACGGTGTCCTCCACCTTGTTACATGCTGTCAACCAGCAACATGTTTCAACAAAACAAGGTTTATCTAATGGGTCGTACCTTGTACAGGCTCATACAGTCGTATCCCCCCCCCCCCACCCCCACATGTAGTTCCTTCTCAAGAAAAATATCGATTACAAGACTTTGGACATGACTTTCTGTGTTGTTTGGCATGGTATTCAAAACTATTGATGTGGTGTTGTCTTGGTGATTTGTTTCAGTATACAACGAACCTCACACCACACTTGCTCCCAAGGGCTACTCGATCGCACTGCGACAAGCGGCATACACCTGGCTGAAGGAGAGCAATTTGTCACAGCCTGTACTCAGCTGCTGGGATGACAACAACGACACGGACATTGTCGATACACACCACTACTCATCAGACTTTACCGGCTGGACCAGTGCGGTGTACTCCAATCCCGACAAGGGTGCTGTAGTGACCGAGGCTGGTTCTCGGTGGTACCAGGGCTATCCCAGCGACAGTGGATCAACACTGATGGTGGTCACATGGCTGCAAGCACTCAGGCAGCTGCATGCCAACTGGCTTGCGGGCAAGGAGCCGTGCTCAGTGGCCGGGCACAATGTGACGTTTGTACCGGGAGCAATGATAAGCTGGGAGCTGATGGTTGGCAACAGTAATACACGTTGGCACTGGAACACTAAAGATGGCAGGTGAGCGGGCAACACTAAAATATCACTGGGAATACAGTAAAACCTGTAACTAAAGACTAGCGGCCAGCCTGGTACTGCAGACCACTCCGCCAGGTACAGATGGTCTCACATTCATGTATGGTTGTGCGGCGCAAACCTCTAACTAAGGACCACGTGCCAGTAAAGACCGCTTTTGTGTGGGTGGTCGTTAGCCACAGGTTTTACTGAACATTTATTGTATGCGTTGACAAGAATGGGAACCTGATTTTGGTTGTGGTGTTCAGAGTAACATGGCAAGTAGGAACAACCAAAATTAAACGAGAGAGCTTGGAAGCTCAGGGCCCTACGCTATGCTTTTTTGCCTTGATGACCTAGACAAAAAAAAGCATAGGGATGTTATAAATTCTTTAAAAAAATCCTTTTTTTAAGACATAACCTGGGATTCGAACCCGCACTATCGCGCGCCCTGCATGCATCCCCCGATACACTTCACATACATACTAATTCTTCCAAGTTGTTTCACATTGTGATCTTGCATTTGAAAGCCCTATTTGAATATGCATTGTGGCCAGCCGTCTTTGATGGCACGGTACGGTAGGGGATAGGTACGGGACAGGTACGATTGAGGATAATACGACACCGTCTCCCGTACCGTACCGTACCATCAAACACAGCTGGCCACATACATCTGCCCGCAATATTCAAATAGGGCTTTCAAACGCAAGATAATAACGTGAGGCAACTTGGAAGAATGGGTATGAATGCGAAGTGTATGGGGGAATGCATGCAGGGCGATAGTGCGGGTTCGAATCCCAGGATATGCCTAAAAAAAGGAAAAGGAGAATTGAAAAATTTATAACATCCTATGCTTTTTTGCCGTCAGATACGGATAGCGCCAGGCGTGACACAAACAAACACACAAACAAACACCAAATTAAAGCTGTGTGGACCCTGGCTAGCGCCAGACGTTACTGAAGTAACGTCTTCTGCATAGCTACGGGAATAAATTATATTTTCTGACATCCATAGTCACCTTTTTTTTGAAAGCTGCACTTTGCGTATCCACTATTCAGAACCCTCCCGGGTAGGCACCGGCGGATTATGCCGGCAAAAAATTGGCAGAATGCGGTGCTTTTTCTGGTACGTTTCATGCATGTTTGGTATGTGGATAAAGAAATGGAGCAGAACTGGAGGAATTGCCCGTCATAAGGTTTGTATGGTTCTGCCAATTTCACTGCTTTTCGAGCAGAATCTGCCACCTTTTCGAGCAGAATCCGCCGGTCCCTACTCGCGGGTCATGTGAACCTAAGTTTTGTGAATACGTTCATGTGGTATGTTTGCTGCTGCCACATTAATACATTGTACAGAGCGTATATGAAAAATGGAAGTAAACTTGTACAAAAATCCCTGGGTTAAATCCTGCAGATGAATCTCAATTTTGTCTTCGGACCTTTCGAAATTCACCTCCCAAATGTTTTGGGCCCACATGTTTATGCAGGAATGAATAGTCTGCAGACTGACTGCCGTAACTGTTGAACATCGATTATCCGACCACCTCTGGGCAGCGAGCCCTGGGAAGGTGTTCGGGTAATGAAAGTGTTCCGGATAAGGAAAATCTCACCACAGGCTGATACCTGTGTTCGGTATATCACAGTACCCACTACAACAGTCGTTTTCATGTTAGTTTTTGTAAGTTTCTGACTTTACAGCCTGTACGCAGTGGTACAGGAAGCGAGTGCACACTGCAGCAACTAACTTTTTGTGCATGCTCCCATACAAAAATGCGCAGCCTGAGTCACGTGTGGTTCGAAAACCCGTCCCGGAAATTCGAATGGTCTGATTATTTCGGATAATCGATGTTCAACTGTAGTTCATAGCATGTCCAGGGACCAGGGAATTCCTCTAGTTTTGTCACAGAAAAGTGTTCCCAAAGTGTATACTACGGCAAAACAGTATTTTACCCATTGTAAAGCAAAGTTTTGCTACTGTAAACTGAAACTAAGCATGCTAAATCGAGATACAGTCGGACCTCGCTTACCCGGTCCTCTTTTATCCGGATCTCTCGTCATCCGGAAGAAAATCGTTGGTTACCGATTTACAGCATTTTCCATGCATACATACAGCATGTGTGTTCGATTATCCGCTTCCCTCGCCTATTCGGATATTTTGTGGAAAACGAATGTGTGCGGCGGCTAAGCGAGGTCTGACTGTAGCCAGGAACAACCTCAGTTGGATCCGGGCTGAACCTATTCGATGTACTTATTATCAACTGTTCTGCCTTGCTACGAAGTTGACCTGACTATGGACTATGGAGCTTTGTTCTGATCATGGTTTGACCTGCTCTACTCCCTTTCTGACTTTGCACTGCAGCCCAGAGCCGGCTATTCCGTGGGACGCTCATCTATTTCCCGACGGCACGCCAGTATCGCTTACCGAAGCCGCGGTAAGCAATACTGGACTCCAAACCACTGGACTCCAAACCACAGCCCGCTGCTCGGCACGTATGACTTGTCCAAGAGAGAGAACGGGCTGATCCTGAACGGCTGAAACCTGCTCAGGGTTGCAATTGTGGGAAACATAACGTCCGTATGGTTCAACCCGGCGCATTCCGATGCTGTAAGCAAAGATGGCTCGCCGCAGCCAATCAAACCGCTCATTGTTGCCGGTGATGTCCCGGACGACCCAGAGTACATTCCATCCGGTGATCTGGGACTCATCACGCTCGATGAAAATATGAAAGTGGATTATGTCAGTGTTCTCCCCATTTCGGCTCTGCCGCCATCTGTCCTAGCACGAACCAACAGTTAGGGGTCAGAGACACACACTCTCTCTCTCTCTCTCTCTCTCTCTCTCTCTCTCTCTCTCTCTCCCCTCCCCCGTCTCTCCAGATGGGATTATTACCAGTATAATTGTTTGAGCAGTTCTGACCTTAGGTACTGTCACATACCTCTGGCCATGCTTCATACGAGGTTCTTCAGCACCATTTTGTATTTTGTATTTATATCATTATCTCATGGCACATCATGATGACGGCCAGTAAAACTGAGACACGGGTGAAAGCCAACCACAGCAGTAAAACAGATAAAAGAATACAAATAAAAGGCAAAGAAGGCAAAGGAGGAGACAAACCAGCAGGATGTCATGCAAATACATGAAACCTATAATTGAGCAGAGATTTTAGCAACAAAATTATCCATCGACGTGCTGGTCTTGGCCTGCGTTGGTAATGTTGCCCAAAGCACGTAGCCAGCAAAGATCGGGGATCTAGTGAATAGGGTGGAGGCAGCGCGTGGGAGACTGAATGAGTTCCGGGTATTCCGTGTTTCGGAGAACCAATTATACGCCTGCATATGCAAGGGTATTTTATTTTAGTAATATTTTTTGTATGAGAACACAGAGGTGGTACTTATGTCGAGTGGAAAGAGGACTGATCTTGGCAATTTCGTAAAGGCTAGCGGAGGGAAAGCGACGATCTTTGCTAAATAAGATTTTAAGGAGCATGCGGTTATGGGTTTCTAGCTTGTTCAATACAGTAGTAGTTATGCCAGACCAAGCAGTATCACAGTAGTCAAGTAAGGGCAATATATATAAGCGTTTGCACCCTGCTGGATACATAGTGCTAGTATAAAGACAAAGTGTATTTTTAATCTAACACATAGACCCCATGCACGCCAGCAGAGACCAGTTGAGCTTGTGAATGTCACAGCCAGCAGAGACTGTGAATGGCACCAGCAAGCAGAGAGACTGGGGAATGCCACCCCAGCCAGCAGAGACTGTGAAGTGTGAGTGCCACCCCACTGAGTAAGCAGAGACTGTAAATGCCACCCCAGGGGAGCCAGCAGAGCCTGGGGAATGCCCAGTTTAAGCTCACTGCGAGGTATGTCTGGGTATGGCGGTGCACTCCAATCCAAGGGTAACTATTACTTGAACCCTATCACTCTTCATGTATAGTGCTGGCAACTGAAATCCGACCCCCTTGCCGGCGCGCCGCGCCGGCAAGGGGGTCGGATTTCAGTTGCCAGCACTGTAGCACTACATGCAGGACCAAGACTGGCAAGAGTCGGTCAAAACTCCCAACTCCAGTGTGCAACTCCTGGTGAGTTAGTATCACAACTAACTTGTTTTAACAATAATCCCATTATGCATCAGGTAACCAGCTCTATGTATGCGTACGAGACGCGGTCTCGGCGAGACTCAGTGCAGTGTTTGCACAGTCAAGTTGATTATAGTCATCATGAATGCGGGTGTCGGATTTTCTCGCACATTCTGTGATTAACCTCATAGTGCCTTGGCGCATGGGCTTCAGTGTTCCACTCCTGTGATGTGCTAGAATTAACACCATATTATTTGGCATGCACCCTCACTTCACAGAGCACAATGGCGCGCTACCTTCTGTTGCTTCTTCTCCGTGATATGCACAGTTGCACCTTCTCTCCCCCCTCTGCATAGAAGTGACATAACTCGCATCCTTTATTGGCGCTACACTCTGCGTAGGTATACTGCTCCTGTGTGGCTTCCACTGTATTCATTTTATTACCTGACGATGGCCAAGTGCCGCAACGCTGTACTAGTAATAATACGGAGCTGGTTCGGATGTGCAGCGCTATGCCAGTATGGGAACGGGTGTGTCCATCCGAATTGCTTTCAGAGATTAAGAAGGCCGTCTTGGATCAAGGGCCAAAGCGTAGAAGAAGAAAAAACATAAACAGCAGTGAGGAAGCTTCCACTGACAATCCACTGAGAAGGTTGGTTTGCAACGTCAAGTCTCCGGACGAAGCCGGACGGGTTCAGATGCACGATATTCGGAACTGGACCTGGCAAGCTTCATGCATGACACCGTTGTCGACCGGCAATTATGCTTGTAATGCCAATTTTGCATGCGAAATGGTGTTATAATGCCAGCATTATGCCACCTGGAAAAAAGGGACTATAATGCCAGCCATAATGCTAGCATTACCCGCCCATGCCTACTCGCCAGTATCTTGCTGATACATGAACAGTCATGTAACTGTTTGTGAGTGTCGGACATCTAGTAGTTGCAAGTACGAAAAACGCACAATTTTCCGAACTTTGAGGCTCCATAAGTACAACAATAATAATGACGTCTGTCTCACCGTCCAGGAGCGACACTGACTCACGCTGCTATCTGGTGTTCGCGAGGTGTTTGTCGCGCTGGAAACGGAGCGTCTCTGTAAGTTTGTATCCCTGGTGATGTTTGTGCCTGGAGAGCACTATATAAGTGGTGCTCTTCAGGCACAATCTTCCTCAGCCTACTCAAGCTCAACTGATGAGGGGTGAATTCCCCGAAACACTGTGTATTGAGCAGGGAGTGGTGCTTTCTTGCAGGTTTGCCGAGTCGAAGGTTCGATGGACTTCTCGTGTGCTCTGGATGGCAGTCGTGAGTCAGTCAAGTGTCAAGTAAAGTCGGCGGAATAGCGTGAGCTCCGGTGTGGGGAGCAAACCCTTTCTTACAAATAATAATAATAATAATAATAATATTCGCGGGATCCGCGTCGGCAATCGGCATCGCTTGAATGTTCAGAAACACACAAACTAGCCTTCGCATCCGCAGGCCACCACTATGCCTATTAACCTTAGTGGCGAATGCAGACCTCACAAGTGAGTCAGGGGAGAGGAGGTTAGTCTCTCAACCAATCGGGCGTGTAACGGCCCATAACCCTGTAAACTGAATCCTTGTTATTCTCACTCCGAGCTGTGAGTACCCAGTTGACCGTGGGTGTCGGCGCAGTTCAGCACGCGTAAAAAGTCTTTTTACACGCTCCCTGCTACCAGCGCGGGTCTTGAACTCGGGACCTCATGATTCGCAGGCAGGCCTGCAAACCAATCGGCCATATGCGTTGGTTTTAAGTACAACAAAGTGAATATAATTATATCCCCGGGTGCCAAAGCATAATATGAGGATTTTACGAGCATAATGCGAGAATTCATGAAAGCATAATTCCATGATTTCGCGAGCATAATCCGCCGGAGCCTAACATCTACCGTGATAAATGATGTAGAACTTTTCGGCCTTTCTTTTTCATTTTCATCTGCATATACTGCTATCGTCCTGGATTATTGGGGGGGGGGGGGGGATACGTGGTGAATCATCTGACAACAATATCATTGTGGCATGGCCTTGTTCCGTGCCAAACCATTTCCTTGTGTAGACAACCGTCTACGCTCCCATATTCCTAAGATTCCTGATCGTCGATGTTGCCGGTGTCATTATCGGTGTGTAGTGAACCGTGAGAAACAAACTCGCCGATCGTGGCTGGCGTTATCCACCGAACTACGTCACGTCGTGATGAACTCCTGTCACGTCGTGATGAACTCAGGCCCAGAGAAGCGACTATATCAAACTATATCAAAGGGTTAAGGACGAAGTAGCCAATTGCAACCACTTTTTTACGTCAAAAAGACTCAAAATACAATAGAAGTTGAATAATAACACATGCCATGTAGATCTGCTTGCATGGACATTGTAATTATTGTGACCTGAGGTACGTAGGTCTACTGGTACAGCTGTACACGTTTTGGAAGTGACCATTACTGCATTAGCAACAGGCCAGCGCCAGGACCGGTGGACCTGGGCCTTCGGATTAGGAGTAGGAGTGCAGGTATCAAACCGGTCCATGCAATGACACGGGCAACACTCCAACAGTACGTACAGTCATTGCACAGATGTCGCAGTGATAAGTGATGTACACTACTAGCTAGAGACTTGAGTCAGTGAGTGTTCCGATACGTATGCGTAGCGGAGACTTGCCTTGCCTCAGCTGCAGTTTACGTACATGTACGTCCATATTGAGTACTGCACTGGTGGATCTACACGTTTTGGAAGTGACCATTAAATTTTCTCATTTGATGACATTAGCAACAGGCCAGCCGCGTCAGGACCGGTGGACCTGGTGGCCCTGCTGTACTGTTCGAGTGCAGTTATCAAACCGGTCCTACATAACAGTACAGTCATTGCAAGACCACTGGTGTAGACTAGACTTCTTCACGTAGAGACTGAATATGGGTCATCGAGTGCTCCGTAGCAGAGACGTACATTGTAGACTTGTCTTTTTTTAGCTGCAGCATGCTACATGAATACAGAATAGTTCATCATGGTTCACCGGCGGCAGTCATCGGCAGTTGGATCGCTCTTTGCTGTTAGGTCCGAGCTCTCGTCCAAGCCAGTGGTGACACTGCAGCGCCGTCACTCATCGCAGACATCAGTCTGGTCTCAAAACTACGAGGTTTCCTCGCTACTTACAGTGAACATGGTGACTTTGAAGGTTGAAAGTGAAGCAGTAGAAACGCATGACCTCACTTGACCACAATATTACTAATACTAGTAACGTCGTTGGTCCAGAGCTCTCGGTTCTACTTCTACTAGCATTCCTGCTTCGGATTTACACGTCGGACCGCATCTCGCACTCGACTCGGCTCTAGCTACCGCGTTACCGCCGGCAGTCTACGCGGTACGGTAGCTACGCATACTTATTATGCATCAGAAACTGATCATTGAGCAATGAATACGCTGATCAAGCCATGCACACGTGATATCGACTGAGGTAACACAACTACAGCGATACAGATCCTCACACGAGTCCGAGAGAGAGTCGGACCGCAGTGAGTAAAGTAAAAATTATGGTGACCTCAGCGAAGCGGACGTTTTGTCCATCACAACATCAGCCGCCCGGTCTCTGCATCGTCAGTTGCCGAACTGCTGCATTCCCGTCCTGTCCCTTGCTGCCCTCGGAGTTTGTGTTGAAGTCATCGCACAACAAAGTGTTTCCAAGATTGCAAAACCTACTGTACTCGGTCAACGAGAGCCCAGTTGGAGCACTCTGTCTCTGCGTGCGGAAGCTGGAGTGGCCGAAAAGCGAGTGGAAGTCATGGACATGGCGAAACGTACTTGGAGGTGCGATTTCAAATCCCATTTGGTGCTCGCTTCCAGCGAAAACAATCAAGAGCAACTGAGCAAGTTGACCGAAAGCCTCCTGGACTGGATCAACGATACCGTCCGAAAGCGCTCCATCGTGGTCAGGTCGTTCT